AACTTTCAATCGAACAACTTCATTAACTATTTGTTTGAGCATCCAAAAAAATGCATTCACTGATGAATCTAATAAAAAATTCCGCCAGTGAGAACAGCAATGATTTTCACCAAATGGCACTCAAATGAATAAGATTAACGCGGATATTCAGTAGAAGACGCTATAAAGACACTATCCATGTGCCAGGATTTCTTGCAAAAAATTGTGAAAACATTACGATCGAATGAAATCTACCTTAAATCACCCTCTCTCTGTTCTTGCTCATTAACGAGACCGACGATTGGTGAAAGGATTAATTTGTTGACAATTGTTGACGAAGCAAAATAACCGTATATCGTTAGAGGACCTATCCAACCTGAACTATAATTAGATTTTTAGCGAGAACGTTCGCGATATGTTCATTACCATAGGTTTTAGCAATTTTAATGTAGCCATCCAAAATTCAAAAAAAAAACTGTCCAAACATTTCATTTCATTTCTTTAGGAGATGACACTTGACATACAGAATTTTAATGTTCACTCATTCTTCTGTTATTGACTCATAATCAGCATAAAACTGTTCGGATGTCGTCGAGAAAGGCAAAAAGTTGCATCAAAAAAAGAACTGTCAAAATCGGATTCATATTGAACTTAAGTAAAACCGACCACGGTAGATACCTGTCATAAGTAAGGTATGTATAATAGCCAACAATGAAAGGTGCCATGATAATAGGCGTAAAGAGCTCTTGAATGAGGATTCGAGTTAATTTCTCAGTATCTTGTGTCATTCGTTGATCACTGAATCGAATTAAAATTATTCCTCAAACAAATTCATTTGAGAAGCTTGATTCATTCTGATGAAGCAGATATATTTTGATAATTCTACGGTGGAATTCACTTGATTTATGCGGATAAATCGTTAAAAACACATGAAAAGTTCCAAACAAAATATTTTTATTTATTTATTTTTATTTGTATTTTTCATTTTCATTGCTTATTCTCACTTCCACTAGGAATCTGTACTATACATCTTCTGCAGGATCGTTCTGCAAGAAGAAATACGACCAATTTGAAGTGTGTTTCTCTCTTCTCTTCGACGGACAAATTCAGCACTGTTGAGAACTGTCAAAATTTTTCTCAAGCAGTAAATGCAACAACATTATCGTGTTGTACTCTTATGGAAGCAAAACGGCTTAAAATCGTTCAAATGGACAATCAACCGATTCTGATCTAATATAAACACTATTTGCTATGAAATGTGACAGAATGATAAATGTGAAACTGAAAATGCTAACGGATTATCGAATTGCTCAGAGGTCACATTCAGTCGGTAGTAAACTTGATTGCTATAATATAATCTATGCAAAGTATTCGCACACAGTTGACGACACTTAAGGTAGAGAAACGATGTTGCATACTTGCATGCGGCTAGAGTCTGCAATAACTCTTTGTTGATCTATAGCGCCACGTGACATATTTTGTGATATTTGTTATGTGATTTTACAATGGTTGTTGCCTAGCTTTAAAAATTCACATTATTCGTGGACAATTTTAATGTTCCCATGGAAAAATTTCAATACGATTACATTCACAACTCACAATCAGATTTCAATAATTCACGTAAAATTTTCTGTACAAATTGTGGGTTTTTTTTTGAGGTTTGCAAGCAATTCATTTCGGCTAAAATATCATTCCAGATTGGTTGGATAGAGTTTTGGAATTTGTGATATTGCGGAGCGTATAAATTTGAATATTCAGAATGATTCGATCACCAGCGCTTTCGATAAGATGATGATGGCAGATTTTGCGATGAGAAAACGAAATGTATCCTTGTCGCGATTACCAAGAGCAACGTAGAACTCACTTGGTAGAACACCAATGAAATAGGTGGTAAATTGGTCTGAATTATGAAATAAGTAAATGAACTTTAAGGTTGTAGCAAACCAAAAATAAACAACATATCACTAAGATTATACTTTTCTCTGCTAGAATTCAAGAACAATCGTGCGTTCTTGCCGCTTTTAAAGTGAATCATGAAGCGATACTTATTCGTTGAATGTATTGCAAATTTTGAAGGCATTTTGAGAAGAAACGCTAGGAAATATATGCGGAGCAGATATGTCACCGAAATGGTGACATAGCTTTGAAGTGGAAAAATGAATGGTGCAATTGAGAGGGATTTCGAAAATTGAAATTCATGAATTGAAGAGGATGTATAAAAGAACATGCTATCACACTTTCGATTCTAGACGGGCTCTGAGAAACATTCGACGGCTTTTACTGATGAAAAGATAGTGGCATTTCGAATCTGTGATGAAGGAATGAATGAATATTTGAAATGATTCATTTAGCGGACTAACCAAGTGTTGAGACCAGAAAAACGATAAGTGCTAACTGCAAAGTGAATGGACATATACTCTGTTTAAGTGGAAACAAAATTTGGAATAGAATCCCAATACGTCGTAGAAGATTTCGATCAAGGGATAACTTTTTCATTGCAGCAGTTAAATGGTGGTGGTGAGCTGCAATGAAATCTTTCGACGAATGCACTGACCAAGTTCTGAAATGCGATCGATCATTTCATTTTTTGCAAGGTGCATTTCATCAGTTTACATTGAGGCGGCTGTAAGTATGTTTTAAATAATTTTCTGGAATATGGATGGCTGCAGAAAAATTGCGAACAAAATATTTAACCTCGTTCAACTAACAAATGCTGACGAATTGTATTATAAGTGCAATTCAAATCAACATAGCCACTAAAATAAGGCAATACACAAACTCGCGCATCATTCAAGCGTGCAAATATGGATTTGAATTTGAATAACTGAATGACGGTCATATGAATTTTTGGATATTCATTAC